CAAAATACCACAGTTTTTGTCTTGCTCGTATCATTTTATTTTGTTGTATTTATCCGCGACGCCTTAAAGATATTATCTGACATTTAAACCTGTGGCGCAAAAAGGTTGGGGAGCGCTGTATCAGGTCACAGTTCCTTTTCCAAATGTCTGACCCAGTTCTGTGCTCCAAATTTAAGCTAATTCCCACAAAATATATATATATATATATATATATATATAGTGATATAGTCACATGGCCAACTGACATTGTTCCTCCTAACTTCATGAAAGAGGTTTTGCCTGTCATCTCCCCCAGCTTCTCTCTGTCATAAATAATTCTCCTTCATCAGGCTGATACTTTAAAGCAGCCAGTGTGTTCTCTCCGCTTAAAAAACAAACAAACCCTAATCAGCTCCTAAATCTTAATCTAGGTTTTTAAGGTAAACTTGGGAGGGATAGCATTGGGATAGCATGCTTTTTCAGGATGTGGGCCCAAGCTCGTTTAAAACAGTCTGAGATAAAGAAGAAAACTGTCATCATCTGGCCAAGAGAAATTGAAATTATTATTAGGAAATTATGGAAACAACTTCCTGGATATGATGACATGATGGTGTGATCATATTCAGTTTAAATGCAGTCAACTATATATATGTATATATAGTTTTTTATTTGCATGTGGTAGCCAATCAGAAGAGTGTTTGGTGAGTGGGAGGTGGGAGCGAAAAAACAACTTCATTAAGAATAAATAAACTGATGCAACCCAGCATCACAGCGAAACGTGTATTCCACAGTGTCCATTTCACACTGTGCCTCTCCAAAATGTGAAATGGACACTCATGCATGCACACATGCAAATGCATTATACATTTGAAGTCAAGAAGTCAGCAGTGAGTAAAAAATGTATGAAGTCGATTCTAAGGTTCGTAATTGGCTGAAACGATGAAGCTAGGCAGCTAATGTGTATTTACATTAGTGCTGTCAGCGTTAATCTCATTAAAAAGGCGTTAACGCCTTAACTGCATTAACGAGGCAAATCTCTGTTAACGAGTTACCGTAGATCGCCCTGTGCGTGGGGCTGCATGGCGTCAGCGCGGTCCAGCCCAACGTCCAGCCCCACGCGAGGGGCGATCCGCGGTAACTTGCTAACAGAGATTTGCTGCGTTAATGCAGTTATGGCGTTAACGCCTTTTTAACTAGATTAACGCTGACATCACTAATTTATATGTAAATGTGTTAGTTATGCCTGTTTAAACACAAATAAAATATCCCCCCGTGCTGTTACTGCAACTTCTGCACGGACACAGTGGACATGTGTGTCTACTGCACATTTTGCCGTGATATCTGTCTGATGAGCTGCACATAGACCAAGTGTAAGACAAATAACAATTATTTTGGACCATGTGCGATGCTGCTTTAGTCCAAAGATTAAAAAAAAGGTTAAAAGTTCTAACAGGTCTCCTTTAACATGTGTCTGCCTAACAAGTCAAAGTGGAACAAGTAAGTTTGGGTTTGCCAGCAGATCAGTTTGAATCGAGCAGCTAGCAGCAACCACAGCAAGCTTTAAAAAACCACATGCAACAAACTGCATGTATCCACGTCCTCTGCAAGCAAACCAAGTTCAGCGTGACATCAGTCACAGTTATTACTTACTAAATTCTGTTTAAAAACCTTTGGCTACAGTGGAAAGAGATCCACCTGCTGCTGTTTGTTGTTTGTCTACCAAAGGATCAGCTCAACCATGATTTGTGTCATCAGATCACCTCAGACTATAATAAGAAGGGTTACAACTTTAACATCAGGTAAAAATCAAACATCAAAAAACCTTTCTTCACCTGGGAATAAATAATGTCTAGGTAATTTACACGACAAAGGTAGGACATTTATGCGTGTGGGTACTCATAAATTGATTGTTTGTCCTCTTCTAATGCTCCTTTCACATTTCATGGCTGCCCTCCTTTCAGGCTTGTGTCTCCTTTGAACGCATCATCTCAGAAACTCTAACTCTGCTGTTTGTCATGAGGCGTCAGGACAACACAAAACACCTCTAAAATGTACATCGTACTAGTGCTGGGCGATATGGTATAAAATATTTATCACGATATGAATTATTTTATATCACGATAACGATATATATCACGATATACCACCTGACCTGTGGTCATCTGGAAAGTATGCAGTCTGTAAACAGCGAGCGCAGAGGTCTTTGTTAATGAAATGGATGGTTACGCTCATGTAGGGTTGCGTATCTCTGCTCGTCCATATGTCAGTCGTCAAGGCATAATGCACGACACTGCAAACATCCTTCTCTACTTGGGCCCGGCATGCGTCATATAAGCGAGGCAACTCGACTTTACTGAAGTGCTTACGACCGGGCATAACGTTCCTCGGATCAAGGACTTTGACGAGGTCCTGAAAGCTGTCCTTCTCAGCTACATAAACAGGGGCCATGCCTTTATAAATGTAACGCGAGACGGCTCCTGTGATTTGTTTATGGCGCTGGGACGTTTTCTCATACGGCGTGCCTTGTGCGAAAGACTGCTGTATCTTTAGCTGGTATAGTTTTTCTTTTCCCAACTTGCTCCCGTCGTTCCACAACTTGGTTTAGCTCGGATTTTCTGGATTCTTGAGTATTCTTTTTCGTGGACCTTCTGTAGGTGATAGAAGAGATTTGTTGTGTTGCCATTGAGTGCAGGAATAATTTTATAGCATAGCTTGCAAATGGGCGTCTTCTGCTCTGTGTTGGTGCTGTTGAACTCAAAATGTAACCAAATCACAGACGTACCCCCTCTTT